AGGGACACCAAGGGCTAACCAACAGACATAGTCCTCAGGAGAGATGTCAGTTAATTTTGAATCCGGGAAGGGGGTGTTCTAGGGTAGGAGAGAAAGGCTGTACTGTGTGGACTGGGCCTTCTAACTGAATGCATGGCCTTAGGTGGATTAGTTGTCCCTTTACCCTTCCGATTCCCTAGTCTTAGGGTGAAGAAACTGGCCTACTCATCCTAAAATTCTGGGTGACCCAAGTCTCTCTGTAGCTTTGTATTCATTCCCACAAGTTCTCCAGCTCATTCCTGCCCTGGGCACGTGCTGGGTGAATACCGGAGTGAACCATGAACGGCCTCTCAATTTACAAAACTGGAAACTAGGGCCTGGAGGGTTTGGCTGGCAGCTCAGACACAGGAGCCAGTTAGTGTCAGGAGGCCGTGGCACACACTAGTCCAGAATCTTCTGGCCTACAGGTAACAACAGGGAGGGAAGTCAGTGGTCCTCAACATGGCTAGAGGCGGAAGAAAGGAAGGCTCCCGACTGGCACTGCAGCTTCAGGACCTGGGCTCTAGGGCCGAGTAACCCGTCTCAGTTTACCGTTTGATTAAAAACGTGGACAATAACAGAACCTGACTTAGAAAGATAGCTACGTGTAGTTTAAAAGACTGCCTGGTATACAGGAGGAGCTCAATAAATGCTCCTGCCAGTGGCACTTTCCGGGATAGTTTTAAAAAAGCCTGTGCGGGATACAAACACGTGGGGAAAGCTAAGGACGAGGGTGATTAATTCCTTAGGGTTCCCGATTGCCAACTAGATACAACGTGCTCCGCTCTCGCAGGGCCCACGTGAGGCCTCCGAGGCCCGGGTTTGAGTTTCGCGGTGACCTTGGATCACGGAGCCTCTACTTTCTCATTTGGAAACCGCCGCGTGAGGCCCACGAAGGACCCACGGCCGCCCTGTGGAAACCACCCGACCGCGTGTCTTTCGCAGGCCCGCGCCGGACCGGTCTCCATGGCAGCGCCCGACCTACCTTCTTGCCGGCAGTAAGACATGGTTGTTCCCGACGCTCGCAGCTCTCCGAGGCAGCCGGTGCGGCCGTAGCGGACACACCTTCAGGCGGTGACCTCCCTTATCCTCTCCTCACGCCTGGCGGGCGGCACTGAGGCCCACGCGGACCCGCCCCCTCCAGGCCTGCCCGCCGCGCGCCTGCCTCCAAGCCTTCGAAGCACCAGCGCCTCTTCTCCGCCGAAAACTACATTGCCTAGCAGCCCGTGCGCCCCTCCAACGAGGCAGGTACTACAATTCCCAGAAATCTCGCAGCGCGCACGCGCACCAGTGAAGCAATGGGAGTGTTGCCCTTTGTGGCGAAAGTGTCCGACAGCGGACTACATTTCCCAGCAGGCTGCGAGATGCGCACGCGCAGACAACTTGCGGGGGCGCAGATAACTACCCGCGGGGCGGTAACTCTTGCCCTGAGTTCAGCCAGGTCTCGGATTCCACGCGGAGTCTTGCAGCTCTGTAGCAGACAGGAGGTCACTGTATTCTGCATTCCGGTCGTCAGAACAATTCCTAGCAGAGCAGTGCGAGACCGTGGAGGCGAGCTGGGCCCACCATGGCCGCGAACGTGAGTAACTCCTGGTCCCCGGGCCACACCATCATTCGGCCCGCTTCTTCCTCGGGTCCACGCTGTGTCCTTAGGAGATGCGACCCCAGTGGGTGAGGCGGCCCTGATCTGCCTGCTCTTGTCCATCTGTTCACACACCCTCAGGCCGCGCGTTTGTGGGACGCTCTCCTCCGTCGAGTCAGCTCGTGCATGCAGCTCTTTCGACTTCTAGTTACTTTCTGGGCCCCCGGGGGTATGAAACTTGGGGACTAGAAGGATTACGGGGAAAGTGTCCGTCGGTGGGTATGTTGGCAAGGCGATCCCGCCCAGGTGGAGCTGTCCAGCAAAGGCTGCTCTGACCTCCTCGCCCTAGGGGGTGTGTACGCCGGGCTGTGATGCCACTGTAGCTGGACGATCCTGGCTGGATCACCAGGAGAAGGAGGCTTTTTTCTTCCTCCCGGTCCCTACTGTACTTATTTGGTAAGAGACCCTGGCTGAGGATAGTCTCCCCCACATCCGTCCCCCCACCCCTGCCCCGAGTCTCTGGCTTCTTCCTGCTGCAACTAGTCTTTAAGAACTATAGTAGTGAACGCTAACATTCATTCAACGAGCTGAGCAGCATCACTTACTAGGGGACTGGGTGTGGGAGAAGCTGATGACTCACCGCTGCCTCTGGCGAAAGTGCCTCTGAAGCCAGTTCAGGAACACTGCCAACCGCAGGCACACCCTCTCTCCCTCCTTGGTAGAGTGTCATGCTGCCCTCCTCTGGCCCGGCCCTCTTCCCAGGCTTCTCCTCTGTCCCGCAAACCTCTTCTTGGCCTCCTACATCTCCTGAGAGACCAGAGTTTGTGTCACCTACTGCCCAAGCAGTGACTGCTTGGCATATTGTCTCACTCTGGAAGGGGAGAAGAGCCAGAGGTTAGGAAGGCTGCACTGGAGCCAGAGGAGAAGGCAGCCTGTAGACCAGTCTAACAGGAGCAGGTGGACTCCTACTGGCACCTATCATCACCATATTTTGCACTTCCCCAGCAGAAGACACCTGCTCGGGGGCCCTAAGCCAGCTTATGCTGCAGCAATAGTTTGGGAAGGTGACGAGGACAGGCTTTGGAGCCAAGCCTAGAGGCAAATCAAGATTCTTCCACTCTTTAACTTCCCAGGGTTCACTCTCTCATAGGATTAGTTATTTTGAAGTTTAGGGAAGATTGCTAGGCACAGAGCCTGTACCTGGGAGGTACTTAACTCATGAAAAAGTCACTCTTACAGGCTCGTACAGTCAGAGACCATCTTGGGTATGTGTGTTGGGGTCTGACTCCCACACCAACAAACATAGATACAATGAGATATCTATAGTAGCCATGTCTTTGTCTATCCATTTTTACATTATTTTCCTGGGAAGATTTGAACAAATATCCGTTCCATCAGACAGAATAACCATAGACCAAAGGAACAAGCCTACCAACTCCATCTTGGTGAACCAAGGAGGTTATTGGGTGTACTTGCAGGAGCATAGGTAACCCCTAAACAGCTATATCACCAAAGTCCCACATCAGCATGGGTGACCACCCCTGGAAAGCTGCGTAGATGGAGTGTCATCTCCTTTGCTCCCAATCCCCCTTCCGTTAGCCTTCTGCCTCCTGTATACTCCAGCAGTACTACATACTGCTGGGGGTGGGACATAGGAGGAGAGTGGATGGACTCTCACCTGAGGGTATAAAGACCCTCTTCCACTCTTCCAGGAAACATGCCTGATCATGTGAGGGGCTCATGTGGATAATCAAAACTGTTCTTATTTCAAGCTGGCAATGGGTGTGTCATGCCTAGGGGACAGAGTACCAGAACATCCATACTGTAGCTGAACCACCAGGCAGGGTAAGCAAGAAAATCTTAAGACAGTGGGTGGAGCAGAGGCACCTGAATTCAGCCTAACAACTGTCCTGTCAGGTAGGTATTATTACCAGCAAGTGAGGAACCCAGACCAGAGAGGTGGAGTGTGTTACCAGGCTCACACAGCAACAAAGCTGGAACTCCAACCCTGGTGTGCCAATTTCCAGGCCCAGTGTATTTCCACCTATTGCTTCATTGCTTGCTGAGTCTGAGCCCAGTGTGCTGGAAGTGGACTGTGATATGGAAGATACATAAGTGTACATATACACATAGATATGCATACACACATATGTGCCGTTCCCCATCTTACCTCTCCCCCAGCTGCCTCCCTGCCCTCCCTGCCTTCCTGGGCTTAGGAAGAGCTGAAGGAACACAGTCTCCTTTTTCTGCTTCCACTTGTTAAATTCACATTACAGTTAAGCAACAAGGAAGACAGTCTAGGGCAGAGGGATTTGCTTGGGTTTGAACCCGCACTCACTACTTATAAGCTATTGATCTGGGCAGATAGTATAAGCAGTGAGTCTTGATTTCCTCATCTGTGAAATGGGGTAGTGGTAGCCTCTTCTTCCTTGAGCTGGCTTATGAGTGGCTTGACAGATGGTCACCTTCTTGTCTGCAGCGACTGTCTCCACCGAGTCTCTGATGGTATCATTCTGGCTTCCGTGGGTGTCCTCAGCAGGCCTGAGGCAGCCCTGGAGAACAGCCAGAGTGGCATCAGCTATGATCACAGACTCAGACTCAAATCCATCCTCTGATCCTGGGCAGGAAGGGACCTGGCTCTCTGAGGTGCCTGCCTAGTGACCACTTTGTATCTCTGTGACTTTCATCCACACCCACAGTCTGGGTGGCAGCGTCAGTTTCAGTGATGGAGAAATCTGATAACGTCCCTATAGTTGTAACTCCCATAGGAGCCAACGAGGCCCCAGCACCGGAGCTTAACCTCCACTTTACCTGTGAAGAAATGGAGGGTCCATGGCTAGTGGGGCAGCAGAGCTAGGATTCAGGCTCAGTCTCTGCATTTGGTGATAAGCACTAGACATACTTCTGACAACAGCAAGCTGGGCAAAACCTGCTCCATTGACCTGTGGCTTTTGGTCTCCTGGGTGTTGCCTGGGCATGCCCATCTGCTTTGTCTTTCTACCAGCCCTGCATGGCTAGGACAGCCAGGATACCACTCCACACCATTGCTACACAGTCCCCTACTAGGACACCTTTTCCTGAGCTCTGCCTCTATGCCCTCTCCTCCAAATAGCTTGTCGTGATTCCCTAGCTGGAAGGTACAGCCAGCACTGGGCCCGCCTCTCACTGGATTTTCAGCATGGCCACCTGGTAGTCCTTAGAACTGTGACCCCACTGTCCAAAAGGCCACCTACCACTCTTCCAACCTCACAGAGCAGCACAGTCCTCAGGAAGCCCAGCCATTACTTCTCAAATTTAATTAAAAATACACTTCTAGCTGCTTTGTAAAATAGCTTGTTGGTGTCTTTAGGATGTGCTTAAGCATTTGCTTGCCTTGTGCTGAACTTATGGCCCAGAAGTTCTATGCCAAAGTAGAATTGTCCCCCAATGTCTGTGGGAAATATGGGTTCTTCTGGGAAGAATAATTTTGGACACCAAAATTATTTCTCAAAACTCATCAAACTCTCAATTTCCCCCTCAGTATTCCAGTATCGGCAGTAGGAAAGAACATGTCAAGGTGACATCTGACCCCCAACCAGGCTTCCTGGAGCGACTGAGTGAGACTTCCGGTGGGATGTTCGTGGGGCTTGTGACCTTCTTGCTCTCCTTCTACTTAATTTTCACCAATGAGGTAAGATGCAGGGCGAGGATCCAGTGACTGAACTCTGAAATAAAAGGCCTAGGTTTATAGGAGGGAGAGGGCTGCTGAGTTAGTTGGAATTCTTTCTGCAGTGACACACCTCAGTGTAAGTCAGAGGGGCAGTGAGTCAGTTCACACACCTGAGAACCTGCTTCAGGCATGGCTGAAGCACTCAACTCATGCTGGATTGCTGGAATTCTGCCTCTTTGTGGTGACATTTTGCGTCACAAAGGCAGCTTCTTCCCTTGGAGCAATTTCAGTCCCCCATCCAAGCAGTTTTTTAGCATCTGAGAGAATCAGAACCGGAACCATGTCTTTTTAAGTCAGTTTAGCAGAAGTTATGGCTATCTCTCAGGTTCTTGGCGTAGGTCTTGGTTCTCTGAACCAGCACCACACTTGGTCTCACCTAACTACATGGCCTCGGAGGGCAGGAAAGTAATCAAGAAAAGCTGGAAAAGGTGCCCCTGCCACCCTAGGTTCTCCCAGAGGCTCCAGGCACCTTTGGGTGAGACACATGAAGTGTGTCAGCTAATCTGAGAGCACACCTGGTTGGCAAATCCTGAATCACATGATTTGGACAATGCTTCAGATTGGCCTTTGTAAACCACATGGATTAGAAGCTTGGAGAGTGGGAGGCAGAGGCAAGTGGAGGCACAGGACTAGTCCAGGGCAGGGAGACACAGAGCTGTTCCCAACGTCAGGCAGTCTGAGATTGGTGGGGTCTTCCCGTGTTCTAGTCTTGAGTCTCCAGGTGCTAGACCTCAGCAGCTCTGCTTACTGAGGCCCATCCCTCTCTCTACCCACAGCAAGGTGTCAAGCAGCACCTGAGCTGTTGAAATCCCTTCTCTGCCCTCTGACAGGGTCGTGCACTGAAGACAGCCACCTTACTTGCAGAGGGCCTGTCACTTGTGGTGTCCCCAGACAGCATCCACAGTGTAGCTCCGG